ACGACCCTATTCTTCCAAAAAGTTATCGATTTTTATAGCTATCAATAAAAATAAGTATTTTCATCTTATTTACATTTTTGTAAATAAATTTGATAGATATATATCCAATATTCATAATATTATTCGTCAATAGCGGAATTTACTTACTTATTAGATTGGTTCTAAAGATAGTTCAGTCAGTTTACAGATTCAGTGGGAAATGTAGCAATTCTATTGTAATCTTTTATCTGCTAATACATATATTATGTTATTTAGGGGTTGTTTTATAATTGAAGGAATGGTAAATAAGTATTTATCTTTTTAGTTAATTAGACATTTAAATAATTAATTTTGAAGTTTCACTTATTATAATAGGCTCACTCTTTTAATTTTATGTCATTATGGAACCAATTATGATATTTTCAAGAATATTTCTTTTTAGACATATCGCCATGTAAAGTAGACATTAAACAATTACTCCTTTGAATTAACTAATCTACTTTTTTGTTTAGCATAACACGTTAGATCAACATCTTAATAATTATTGAAATATTATATTCACATTATATAAAATTATCATTTTCGAACATTTTTAATGGATCCTATCCTCAGTTTCGGCATATCCAATGGTGATATAAAACCGATCTGGGGATACTTCTTAAAGTTTGAGCAAAAGATTTTCAATCTGTAAACATAAAGCGTTGTCATCATTTTTATTGTAAGTCAATTTATTCTTGTTCCCCTTTCTATTACTAATATCCTGACTTTAGAATATGCTATCAAATGAGTTGTTTTAAGGAAACTTTTAATGTTATAATAAAATTTGGTTTAATATTACACAAATTTGGATACCTTACTAATAGAGGTCCAAATTGAGTAAATAAATGGATCGTTGAGCCTGAGTTAGTTTAAGTTTGGGTTGATAGTAATGCTATTAATAATATCCTTAAAAATAATAATAATAAGAATAGTGGAGCACTTTTTTGTAATGAAGAATGCTTCAAATATATTATTCAAACATTTGTGTTTTAGAATGTCCTGGTTAAACCTATTTATATAAAAATTGTTTTTAGAAATTGTGCGGACCTATATTCAGAATGTTTTGGTGTTGAAATATACGAGGAATTGCCTTATTGGTTAGAATAGAGAAATAAAATGTTATGCCATTCGTCCTAATTCAAGCCTTTTTAAAATTAGTTGACTAAGTATTTTACCATAATTTATTAAATTAGCGGGTGAATACCTTAAAATATTTCCTCTGCTTTTCTCGATCAATATATTTTTCTACTAATCGTATATTATTTAATATTGTACCTCTCTTAAATATCCCCTTTGACTGTTCAATCCTTCTAGGAAATTTAATTCATTTTCACATGTTAAAATTATATGTAATATCAATATTATATCATTGTGCTTTCTTGATTTATAATTATTATTTAAGGATCCTCTCTAAATAAGTACTTGTTTTTACCAAAATTTAAATACTTGATCTTAAATTTAGGAATCATTCTTGATTAACTAGCAAATTTGATTTAATTTTTGCTTAGTAGAGCTATTTTTGTTATCTTTATATTTCTTATTAATCATTATGATTTATGCTCTCAGTAGTAGCCCTATTTATGTAATTGAAGAAATATAATTAAATAATTATATAAATATGTATATTATTATTTTTACTTTCTAATATTTTCTTCAAAAAAAAAAAGAACATTTCGTTTAATAGTCTGTAAAAGTGTTTGTTGTTTCAAAAGAGAATGTGTTTCAAAAAACGATAACTTACACGAGCTCATGAAAAGTTGCTTACGTATTTCGATTATATTAATGATGAAAAATTTTTGGTAAAAATTTATTCGAAGAAACTGCGTTTATCTATTTTAATAATATTACTTTCTCCTTTTCAGAACCTTTAAACATTTAAGTTAAAAATATTGTCTAAAATTCTTAGAAAAAAAGTTAAGTGTTTTATTAACTTTATTATAAGAATTTATTTTATAAAACTTAATGAGTAATTATTTTAAGTTTAATTATAATGATAGGAATTAATTAATTGCGGAATGAAATTTTAAATCCTATTTTAATTAATTAATTATTAATATGTTTGTTTTAATAATGGTAATTTTACTTTAATTACCCTTCCAAAACCAAGCTTAAAGATTAAAACTTTAAGGACCGAAGCCTATATATATGAATTGCATATAAATAGATGAAAGTTTTAAGAATTTAATATATTGTAGTAGAGAATGGCTTTGTGGGAAGCTAGTACTTTTACGAGTACCTTTCATAATCTGGAAATGTGCTAAATCTTGATAAGATTACATTCACCTTATGGATAAACATATATTAAGTATCAAAATTGACTGGAAAGTAAATTTTGTTTGCTTTCGTCGATGGCAACACAAATAATCCTGTAAAGAATTAATTCATATTAGTATATTAATTTAATGTTGTATTATTAAACATCTGCTGGAAATTACAATATGACCTTATTGAATTAGAGGTAATCTCCAGAAATCGTTAATTTAACAAAGTATACATTTTATATATTCAAGGTAAAATGATCTTTATATTGGCAGTTGGTGTCATATTGTATTATCTATAGATTAGAGCACAAACAATACATTTATTAATTTGAAATTCTTTTCTACAATTGATTGGAAGATGAATTCAATTTAAGAGACTTTAGTTAATTAAAAGTAATTAATTTTGTTATAAATAGATTAAAGTATAATTTTGGGGTGCATTCTAGAATAACAAATGAGTAATTATTTAACACTTCTACTGATTACAAAGCATGTGTAAACATTGCTAATTTTTATTATATCAATGGATGGACAACAATGGATTCAGAAATTTATTTGGACTATGATTTAGAATTGAAATACTTTCTCAAACCCTATTCGCTAAAAGGTCTTAATGTTACAGATTAATTTACGAATGTAGCTCTAAGATAATAGTCCAACCCAATATTTTATAGTGATTCTGTTGGTTTGCTGTTGTTTAAGAATACTCGGATAGTATACAATTTTATGGAGGATTTAGGTTCCTTAACAATAATGTTTTGGATTAAACCATAAAATATAATATCACTTTTTTAGTTTATTTCTTTGACTGATGATGCATTGCAGCAGACAAGTCTAGGTTTTGGAGTAAATTTTGACTATTAATTATAATTTCATCAAAATTATAGTAATTCCCCCCTAGGTTAACTAGAAAATAGCGCTTGGTCTCATGTGACAGCTGGTGTTTTAGAGTTAAGTTATAATGCTGATTTTATTCCAACCAATTAAAAAAAGCTATTAAGAGTTTATATTAATAGCAATTAGGTTTCATAGAAAATCATATAAAATTTAATTGCATATAAAAGATTAATATTTGGACCAATATTTACAGATGATCTTGGAACTGAAATGATTGATATTTAAGACATCAGAATTTTTAAAGGTTATGGCATTAAACAGGGCCAAGGGGATTGCTTATTATTTGTTGGTGCATATTGTGCATTCTGTTCATCTAAAACTCATTATTGCAAAGAACAAGATCCAAATGATGATGAAAATATTTATAATTGTACAGCTGGCTTTAAAGAAACTTAGAATAGTTGTTCTCCTATAACAATCTAGAATTGTCTTAGACAATAAGGATCAGCTTGTATAAATTGTGCAGATAATTATAAATTATAAAGCGGATAATGCTATTAGATAAATCCTTTAGTGTCTCCATATACTTGCTCAGATCCTAATGCAATATTTTGTAAAAGAAACATATAAAAATCTATTAATGAATGGAGCAAACTTTGTCAACCAAATTTTAGCATTTAGAATGCTACAACTTATTGCCAATAGAATTCATCAAGTACTTGCTAATAGGCTTAATTCTTTAGAGCTTGCTATATATGCAAAGATGGCTAATATTTAACAGAATTTAATACATGTTAAGAGACTTGTACAGAAAATTACAGATTTTAGTCAAATCGAGTTTGCTTAAAAAAATGCCCAGGAAAATATTTATACAAGTAAAATTGTAAGAATACAGAATTACCCCCTACGTATGAATGTAGAAGTACGAATAAATGCAAAGAGAGCGAAAAGGATATTGGCTATTATTGTCTAAGTGATAAAGAATAAACTAAAAAGTACTAAAAATGTGAGGAGCGTGACTCAAGACAGGATAAATGCAACTAACTCTGTTTATATTGCTTTGGTGGGAAGGATAATCAATGTTTGGGTTGTCAAAAAAATTATTTCTTTAGTCCTTATGATACAACTTGTGTGAAAGATTGCAATAATCTTAAAATATTTAAATATAATAATAGAGAAACAATGGTTTGTGAAATAGAATGCCCACCATCATATTTAACATAGGAATTAGAATGTGTTAAGAGTTGTAAAGTTGGTTATGCTGTCTATAATAATACAGTATGCCTACCATAAACTCAAATTACAGATAATTTCTTAATGACTTACTCTGATTCTTACCCATCAAAAACTATATTTGTTGATTGCCCTCAAATTTGCTAAACATGCACTAATTAAACCTTTTGTACTCGTTGTCTAAATCATTACATTTTAAACCAAAATAAATGTCTTATAACATGCTATCCACAATATCTATATATTGATGAAGATGATGTTGGTCATTGCTTAACTAGCTGTGATCCAAATGATTTTGTATACGATAATGCTAATATTGAAGGATATTCTATTAGACAATGCTTCAAAAATAAATGTGGCTCAATTTAGATTAATTAGAAGCAATAAACTTATTTACATTAAACGAAACCTCTTACTTGTATGTATCCATGTGATGATCAATATTATTTTCAATAAAACACAGATTAATGCTCTAAATGCAACTCAATTTGCTAGAATTGTTAAAACTCAGCCAATTTTTGTACTAAATGCTGGCCAGGAACTTTTCTTTAAGACAATAGTTGCTTCACTTCTTGCCAATCTAAATTTAAGAATTACATGAATAATCAATGTGAAGGCTCATGCTCTAGCGGATTTACTATTAATGACAGTAAAATTCAAGCCTGTGTCTCTTTTTGTGGGGAAATATTTTCTAATTTTACCTATGTACTCAATGGTCAATGTTATCAGAATCCTCCCACAACTGGAGCATATTGCATAAGATAATGGTGTTAAAATTGCTTTTATAAATGCAAGACTTGTTCTGGTCCATAAAGTAATTAATGTTTAACCTGCTATGATAAAACATTTCTCTTAAATAATTAGTGTGTGCTAGATTGTGGTGCTAAGTTTTATGATTTGTTAAATTGGAAATGTGTCGAAGTTTGTCCAAACAATACTTATGCTACCTCTGGTTATGAGAGTATTAATTCAGATTTAAAACTAGGCAACTTCTGTTCCTCAACCTGCTTATATAATTAGTTTTAATATAAGGGTTAATGTACTGATATCTAACCAGAAAACACCTTCTATATACAGAAGACTAATTATAGATTATGCGGTAAATGCACAGAAGCATGTAAAACATGTTTTGATTCCTATTCGACCACTTGTAGCAAATGCAATCCAGGATTTTATTTATATAATACTACTTGCTCTACCGAATGTTCTGATGATATTCCCTATAAAGATACACTTAATAATTTATGTGTTGTTACTTGCATAAGTTATTAAGAAAATGGATATTGCGTTGCTAGCTGTTCAGATAAGTATTACAGGTATGATGCTCAGAAATAATGTAATGAATTTGGTTGTCCTAAAGGAACTTATAATTAAGTTTCTACACATAATTGCTATGCTTGTGCACCTGGATGTGCTACTTGTACGAATGGATTGTCAAATTCATGTAACACATGTATAGAAGGATATTTTCTACAAGGTACATCAACATGTACGAATGAGTGTAATGTGGATCCAGATATTTTTTAAGATTGGATTACTGGAAAATGTGTTGAATAGTGTCCAACTGGGGCTTACTTGTAAACTTTACCTAGTGGGTCCCTAGCATGTAAAGTAACTTGCCCTATTTATTATTATTCAAATGTTTGTGTTGCAACCTGCCCTCCTCAAACTTTTTCTGATGGAAATATCTGTACTTCATGTGCAGAACCTTGCACTGTTTGTTTTGGTAAATAAGTTAACCAATGCACAAAATGTGATTCTGGATATTATTTGGCTGATACTACTTGTGTCGAAGTATGTCCAAATACAATACCATATGCAAATCTAGCTAATTAGACTTGTGTCTCAACATGCCCAGATTTCTTGTATTTAGCTAAAAAACTCTGTTTTAGCTCTTGTCCAGGTTTCTTAGCTATTTATCAATTAAATGGGAAAAAAGAATTTGTTGATTAATGCTATTATTCTAAATCTTATTTATCTGCAGGAATTTGTTTACCATGCATTTCTATTTGTAAAGAATGCTATGGACCTTTAAATGGAAATTGTTTAGAATGTGAATCACCTTACTATTTATATCAATAAAAATGTTAATCGGCTTGTCCATCATAATTATACACTGACTTAGCAGATAAGACTTGCAAAGAATCCTGTCCATCCACTACGGTTATATAAGGTTAGTATTGTAAGCCCAATTGTGATATCAATTATTCTTAGTATGGTTAGCTTTGCGTCGCAATATGCCCAAAATTTACATACAAATTAAATTCAAAATGTTTACTTTGCAATTCTTTATGTAGGACTTGCAACGGACCCTTAGTAAGTTAATGTTAATCTTGCATAGAAAACTATCTATTAAATAGTAGTACTTGCACATAAACCTGCCCAAACCTAGATGATTTCGAGACTTAAAAATGTGTCAGCACTTGTGGTACAAAGTATGAATTAACTGATCTCAAAAGTTGCGTGACAACTTGTCCAAAGGGATATTTAAAATGTAATAAAAATTGTTTGAAAACTCCACCCGATGGGTATTATTCAGATGGAGTAAATTGCATTTAATGCAATAGCAGATGTGCCAAATGCACATCCCTAAATGTATGCTAAGCATGCAATAAAAACAACTTTCTAACTTTATAAACCTGTGCTAGTTTTTGTATGAATAAATATCTTTATATGGATCCAACAACATAGACTTGCGTTACAAAATGTCCACCATAACTTTACCATTAAGAATCCTATGATAAAAGGGGTTGTGTTGAGGATTGTCTCTTTGGCTTTAAATTTAATAATTAATGTGTTAATTCTTGTCCAAAAGGAATGTATGTTAAGAATAATTTCTGTATAAGTTGCCCTTAGACTTGCGAAGAATGTACTTCAGCAACAAATTGCACTTTATGTGGTAAAGATTATTTTTTAGAAAATGGACTTTGTTAGTTAAGTTGTTTAGCTGGTAAAACTGATTATAAAAACCATACATGTGTCTCATAATGTGATCCATCATTATTTGAATATCAAAATTAATGTTTAGAAAGTTGTCCCACAAATCCAGTAGTTTATTATCATTCAAATATTTGTATGGATGCATGTCCAAATAGTACATTCTAGAACAATTAAGAATGCTTGGATTGCGATGTTTCATGTTCATCATGTGTAGGCCCATCAAACAATGATTGCTTAGTTTGCAAAGAAACCTACTATTTACTTGACTAAAAATGTATTCTCTCTTGTCCTTATCTATATAATGAAGTAGAAAGATCTTGTGTTATTTCTTGTCCTCCAAATTTTTTTTAGAATGGGAGTAGGTGTTTTTAGATTTGTAGTTAATACATGTACTTTGATACTTGTGTATCAAGCTGCCCACCAGCAACATACCATTCAAAAAATTTTAACTGTTATGATTGCTCTTAGGATTGTCTTGAATGCGATTCTTTTGGCTGTCTTAAATGCGGAAATGGATCATTTTTAAATGACGGAATTTGTAGTAATTATTGCCCATACTTTTACAACATTATCTTAAATCAATGCGAGGAATAGTGTCCAAAAGGAACATTTCTTTATATCGATCAATGTTATGCATCCTGTCCAATCAATACTTATACATATTTGTAAACATGCCTTTTAGACTGTCCTTGGAAAACTGTTGCAATAGATTCTATATGCTACTAATGCCCAGAGAGATGTTTAGTATGTAAAAATTAATATGAATGTATGAATTGCGAACCACCTTATTACGAATATAAAGGAGAATGTGTAGTCGCATGTCCAAAAGTACTTCCCTATTAGAATAAAGTTTACCATGTATGTTAATCAGAATGTTCTCCAAATACATATGAAAAAGGATATGATTGTATTAAAGAATGTGATTTAATTATCCATTAGAATAAATGTTTAAAATAATGTCCCTACGGATATTATGGTAATACTATATGCAAAGCATGTAAATTGGAGTGTAAGGCTTGCACTGATTTTAATATATGCACAGAATGCTAAGACAATTTTTACCTTGAGCATAATTCATGCGAGACATTATGTACAAGAATCAAAGATTTGAAATAAAAGAAGTGTGTTGATTCATGTTCCTTGCTTTTATATCAAAATGTATGCTATGAAACTTGTCCTGTAAACACATATTAATATGCAAATACTTGTCTACAAAAATGTTAAGATGGATATTTTGGTTCGACAGAATTCAAATGTGAACAATGTCCTTCTTAATGTATCACATGCTTAACGTTTAATTAGTGTAACAATTGTAAAATTGGATATTATTTATATCAGCAATAATGTTTAGAATAATGTCCTGATAAATCATTTTCAAATCCATTAATCGGTTAATGTTCATAATCATGTCCAGATAAAACTTATCTTATTAGAAATTAATGCTTGTATGATTGTCCAGGCGATTATTTCAACGACACTGAAAGTTATAAATGCGTTTTATCTTGTAAAAAGCAACAATATCTTAATAAAAACAGTTGTTATCCCTGCTCTTTTGAATGTGATTAATGCACAGCATATGGAAATTAAAATTGCATAGCATGCGCAACTAATTACGTTTTAACTGAAGATGGACGTTGTTTTGGAAGATGCAAAGCAGGTTATTATTAAACATCAAATTCTTGTGAAAAATGCTTACATAAATGCCTAACTTGTTAAAATGGTACAGAATGTTTATAATGCAGAGGAAATAACAGAAATCAACTTGATTGCTCATGTCCAAAAGGATTTTATGATGATCCATTTTATGATAATTGTTAAATATGTCCATGTGAGGAATGTACTTCTGAATCTCGGTGTCTAGTATGCAAAAATAATCTCTAAGTTCCCAACTGTTCATGCAACAGGAGACTTAATGAAGATTGGTGTATTACTTGTCAAATAGGATCTGTCAATATATAGTTTTCCGACGACCTAAATTCAATAATAGTTTATTTTGGATATTTGATATCTGTTAATTTAATTAACCCTTTCTAACCCTCAAGTTGTTCTTTTTGGTTTAATAAAGCTGAAATATTTGGAAAAGATGCTTAATGCTATTTGTCATGGGACAGGTATGTGGTTCACATCTTATTGGAGCCATACGCTTCTGTAAATATTGGAGATAAATTGAGTTTCTAATAATCTTTCTATCGAGATGTGAATGAAGGTCTTTGTGATAGATAATACATTGAGACATTTATTGATAGTACTGTGAAGGGCCCATCAGCTTTAACTAAGCCTTATGTACTTTTTGATGTGCCATCTGTTGTAAGTACTTGTAAGACAATTGAAGTTAAATAAATTTTACTGGGTGGAACAGCAAAGAAGATTCAAAAAGTATTATTTTGGACTCTTCACGAAATGGATAATGAGAATAATTATTTATAAATGGATGCATTTTTGGCAGGTTAAAAGAATGAATTCATTATTCCTATAGGTACCCTAGCCTCTAATGTTACTTATACCATAACAGCCAAATATATAAATTTTATAAATAGAGTGAATTTCACAACCTTCACATTCACTACACTACCAGACCTAGTTCCTTATGTTTTTCTATAATATAATCCTTTGAGGGCTAGGATTTATGTTTTCGATTGTAAAAACACATATTCTGATATGGAAAATGAATTTAATTTGGCCATTCAAATTTCTGATTCCGATAATAGAACTTACATTTCCATATAGCAATCCATTAACCCCATTTATGAAGTCCCATTAAATGAATCTCTATTACCNTGTCCAAAAGTACTTCCCTATTAGAATAAAGTTTACCATGTATGTTAATCAGAATGTTCTCCAAATACATATGAAAAAGGATATGATTGTATTAAAGAATGTGATTTAATTATCCATTAGAATAAATGTTTAAAATAATGTCCCTACGGATATTATGGTAATACTATATGCAAAGCATGTAAATTGGAGTGTAAGGCTTGCACTGATTTTAATATATGCACAGAATGCTAAGACAATTTTTACCTTGAGCATAATTCATGCGAGACATTATGTACAAGAATCAAAGATTTGAAATAAAAGAAGTGTGTTGATTCATGTTCCTTGCTTTTATATCAAAATGTATGCTATGAAACTTGTCCTGTAAACACATATTAATATGCAAATACTTGTCTACAAAAATGTTAAGATGGATATTTTGGTTCGACAGAATTCAAATGTGAACAATGTCCTTCTTAATGTATCACATGCTTAACGTTTAATTAGTGTAACAATTGTAAAATTGGATATTATTTATATCAGCAATAATGTTTAGAATAATGTCCTGATAGATCATTTTCAAATCCATTAATCGGTTAATGTTCATAATCATGTCCAGATAAAACTTATCTTATTAGAAATTAATGCTTGTATGATTGTCCAGGCGATTATTTCAACGACACTGAAAGTTATAAATGCGTTTTATCTTGTAAAAAGCAACAATATCTTAATAAAAACAGTTGTTATCCCTGCTCTTTTGAATGTGATTAATGCACAGCATATGGAAATTAAAATTGCATAGCATGCGCAACTAATTACGTTTTAACTGAAGATGGACGTTGTTTTGGAAGATGCAAAGCAGGTTATTATTAAACATCAAATTCTTGTGAAAAATGCTTACATAAATGCCTAACTTGTTAAAATGGTACAGAATGTTTATAATGCAGAGGAAATAATAGAAATCAACTTGATTGCTCATGTCCAAAAGGATTTTATGATGATCCATTTTATGATAATTGTTAAATATGTCCATGTGAGGAATGTACTTCTGAATCTCGGTGTCTAGTATGCAAAAATAATCTCTAAGTTCCCAACTGTTCATGCAACAGGAGACTTAATGAAGATTGGTGTATTACTTGTCAAATAGGATCTGTCAATATATAGTTTTCCGACGACCTAAATTCAATAATAGTTTATTTTGGATATTTGATATCTGTTAATTTAATTAACCCTTTCTAACCCTCAAGTTGTTCTTTTTGGTTTAATAAAGCTGAAATATTTGGAAAAGATGCTTAATGCTATTTGTCATGGGACAGGTATGTGGTTCACATCTTATTGGAGCCATACGCTTCTGTAAATATTGGAGATAAATTGAGTTTCTAATAATCTTTCTATCGAGATGTGAATGAAGGTCTTTGTGATAGATAATACATTGAGACATTTATTGATAGTACTGTGAAGGGCCCATCAGCTTTAACTAAGCCTTATGTACTTTTTGATGTGCCATCTGTTGTAAGTACTTGTAAGACAATTGAAGTTAAATAAATTTTACTGGGTGGAACAGCAAAGAAGATTCAAAAAGTATTATTTTGGACTCTTCACGAAATGGATAATGAGAATAATTATTTATAAATGGATGCATTTTTGGCAGGTTAAAAGAATGAATTCATTATTCCTATAGGTACCCTAGCCTCTAATGTTACTTATACCATAACAGCCAAATATATAAATTTTATAAATAGAGTGAATTTCACAACCTTCACATTCACTACACTACCAGACCTAGTTCCTTATGTTTTTCTATAATATAATCCTTTGAGGGCTAGGATTTATGTTTTCGATTGTAAAAACACATATTCTGATATGGAAAATGAATTTAATTTGGCCATTCAAATTTCTGATTCCGATAATAGAACTTACATTTCCATATAGCAATCCATTAACCCCATTTATGAAGTCCCATTAAATGAATCTCTATTACCAAAGGAAACCCCATTACTTTTTGTTGCATCAACAAGAAACTCTGTCATTCAAGAAAAGTTTTATCTAAAATCCAAAAAGATTGACATTTAATTTCTTTAGAAGGATAGATTCATTGGATTAGACAATTAAATTAATGCAAGAGCCTTTGATAGAAATATATAAGATGAAGTGTTAAGTACATTAAATATTGAATATTAATGGTAGTGCAATAATCTATTCAATTTATAACCTTGTAAGACAGAAGAAAATAAAATAATGGAATTTCCATCCAGAAGAATTGCTGACATTTTTGCAGATAGTTAAAATACTACTTTTGTCTTCTTTGTTAAGGCATCGAAAGATAATAGATGGACAGTAAAAGAGCAATTGATAGTTGTCACAGATTTTGAAATCGAGGAAGAATTTGTATTAAATTAAGAAATCCCTCAAAAAGCTGTCAATCTTAATGATGAAATAACTATTTTAATTAGAAATAATTAAAAACATGCTTTCGTTATGTAAGAATTCAAAATTTTGGCATCTATCAAAACTACAGGATAAACTGTAAAGTTTAGGCTCACAGGATTAACAACCAATTACAATAGTCCTGTGTACATATATCTAGTCCCAGGCAATGAATCTATAGCATTTCAGCTAAACAGCCCTCCTTCAGAAGTTTAATTCAATTTAAATCCTATTCTAGGCGAATCTTTAGATTACTTTAACTATTCTATGCAAAACTTTCAACCAGAAAATACTTTTAGCATTTATTACTATTTTGACAAGCTTACTCTCTAAAATGATGTAAACCTATAATCAGTCAATAATGGCATCCCCTTGGTGATTAATTCACAAGAATTGACAGGTTCCTTCTAACTTCCAAATGGAATTATTGATGATGCAATATCCGTACTTTTTTAAATTGAATCAGCAATGGGATCAAAGTCCTATTTAGTATAGGATATTCAAGTCAATAGAAAAAATTATCAGACAAATAAATTATACTAATCCTTCAATAATCAAACTAATTTTTCAAATTTGCAAAGTATTCATACTATGACTAAATTAATGGAAATTGAATAATAATAGGTATGCTTGAAACAATGTTCAGGAGTTGGTACATGCATCGACAAAAAGTGCAAATGCCCTCCAGAATATTATTTTGATGATTGCAGTGGAAACATAGAAGAGTACAATAATTTTAGTAGCCTTATTTTAAATGCTTTGCAATAATTAATTAAAATTCCAATAAAAAATGATGATGAGTTTAGATTATTTAGCTAATCTTTATTGTATTTATCCACTCTAAAAGATTTAAATAATACAATTTCAAATTCAGATTGCTAAAAAATATTAGAATAATACATTTAAAATCTTAATTCAAGATTAGAAAAAATCAACCAATATTCAATTAATCTTTAATATCAGTCTACTGCTTATCTGAATTACTCTCAAATTGATATAAGATCACTGGAAAATTAGAATGATTTATACACAGCCTTAAAGAGCACAGTATTTATGTGGGCTAAAACTTTATTTACCGAAGACTCTGCTGTCTATTAATTGCAAAGTCGGTTAAAAAGCTTTTTGTCAGCCATAATAGAATTATCTCTATTTGGTATTGAACTTAATGGATCTATCGATTACTCATTTGATACTGCCTTTTTAAAAATGTAACGAATTAAAAATATATCCAATATCGCAAATGGAAGACTATTAGTTGAATCTACTGAAGATAATTCCAGAGATTCCGAATACTATGACGTCGTTTAATCTATATATATTCGAAATTACTTTGCTTTTGATGGTTACTATCCGTATCCCTTATAATTATATCCACTTTATGATTACTAAATACGTCAATAGAATAGAAAATAAAATATTTAATTATAAACATATATCTCCTACAAGTTTAAAATACTTAATGATACTGCAAATCTTGTTTGTTTAATGAGAAATTCTTAGACGTATGAATGGTCAAATGAAAATTGCACACTTCATGAATCCAATACATCCTATTTTTGTAATTGTACAACACTTGCTCCAACAACCATCTGCAATGATTATGACTACCTTTTTTCAAGCTCCCCTTAATTCTAATTGAATATTCCCAATCTTTTATATATTATTTACTTTGCATAATTAATCATATTAGGAATATTTTTGATTAAAGCAAGGAAGTCTCAAATTGAAAAATCTATAGAGAAGAATAAGTTTGGTTAAGTTCTAAAATTGGCAAAACGTAGTAAAGTAAAGATCTTAGGAAAAAAAATCGTTCCTGTTGATGATGAAGTAGTAGTAGTTCCGATTGAGTAAATATAAACTCAAAATCCATAAGAACAGACAGATAAAAATAAATTTAGTTTTAATAACTTTTGGGTACTTAATATATGTTAATTATAGAAATATCATTTTTTAACTTCAATGATATTTAAAAAAATTTGTTACTTGAGCTCATTTCATCGATCTGTTTTGATTTTATTGAGGTGGAATCAAGCTATTATTATTGGAGAAGTTTTAAGTATTATTGGATTCAATTATGATATTTCTATGTGGATCATCTTGTCATCAATCATTTTTAGTCGAATTTTTGAATACATTTTCAAAGTAATCAATTTATTATGATTTAGACTTAAGTCAAATACTTTTTTTATATGAAATAAGAAATAATTCTTTTTACCCTAAAATTATTTTAATTCTTGTTAATGTTAGGCACATGTCTATTTGGAATATATGTCTATTTTAAGGTCTAGGATTAAACAGATTTGGTATTAAATACTGATTAATTATTAGATAATTTCATATACCTTTGCCATCTTAATTGATTTTCTATTGTTAGATATCATCTAATTTAGCGCCAATAAATTTTTTGGATAAGAGAAGAAAAAATTAATTAGAAAAAAACTTAGAGAATTTAAATTTATAGCGAAGGCATAGAGCATCAATTGATAATGAATATATATCATTTTCATTTTTAGGTATTAATAAAAATAAAATTAATTTTAATTTTCCGACAAAAAGATAAAAGTTTGAGGGGAGAAGCCTCATTTACCTCTGTCACTGCTAAGGTTAGGTCTTTGGAGTATGTGTAAATTGCTAGAAGTGGAGGATTTGGTGTAGAAATAGGTAGTATTGGATCTACTGAAAATAATCACATAAGAGCTGATTTGTCAGATTAAGAAGGAAATGCTTAAAGAATAATTTTAATCCCTGGTGAGAACTAATAAGTATCTCAATTCAAAGTATTGGGATAGAAACGAAACCAGATGAATTATTTTTTAGATTTCAATGCTAAATTTAGATAATTTATGATGTGATCCTCTAAGTTTTGATTGAAATTTTATCCTGACATTAAACGAGACAATTCTAAAGAACTAATTAGACTTGCGAATTCCTTAAATACCTTAAGTCATTAAAAATTCAATAGACAAATTAAATTAGGATTATTAATACTACTTCTCATTTAATTCTAAATTGCATAATAATTAGAAAAATGTTTAAATAAAATAATCGTTTTTACAAAATAATATTTGTAAAATGTTAGAGTGATTTAGAAATACAAAAAGTTGTAATTATGAAACATTCTGCCTTAACATTAAGCTTTTTTCAATCATAAAATTAAACAAGTTATTTATAATTTTAATATTTATATTATCCTAGGTATGTTTATAAAAAAGAAGTCTTAAAAAGCAAAAAATGGAGTTATAAGTTTAAGATGAAACTATAAATAACCAAATAGTTATGAGTACTAAAGAATTGTGAACGTATAACAGGTTTTCGTTTTTAGAGAGATTATTCATAAATCAAACAAAAATTTTTCTACCCGTAACCAAACATTGCTCCTTGAATAGTTCAAATTGATTATAAATACTGTAATTATAATAAAGTCAGTTATTGAATGTAGATGTTTAAGGAATTTTAACTGAATAATTTTTTATATTCATTTTTGTGAGTATTTTGAATTAAATTAATATTTTCCTTATGAATGGAATGATTATTTTTGTGTTTAAATTTCAGACAAGATATTTTCATTCTGAAATTAAAAATTGAAAATCTGGTTAATGATTACAACTTAATTTATTAAACTTAAATAACAAATGGCACAAATGATTCTGTAAAGTTGGTTCTAAAGATCTTAGGGGCTACGGATTTTCTAAAGATTCATCCATCTCATTTTACTTAATTATTTTTTTTCAGAAGTCAGTGCTCAAACAGAAATCAGCCGATCCTTTTTTAGTCCTTTTAGCACAGATGATAGTAATTAAAGCTTTTATTATAGATTGGAAAGCATACTTAGCATAAAATTCTAACCACATCACTAATTGTGTAACTTCTGATATATACGGAGGACGATTGGTCTTTAATTCATAGACTGTCATAACGAAGACATATATCCTTCCTCCTCATTATAAGATATAGTTTGAATTCAAATTCTGGAGGTTTGTATTTTTTTACATTTATTACTTAGATTGGATCCTTGGTCCTCCGCATATTACATCTTATTTATTAATGGATAATAAGAATACTCCTCTAATCCATTCAATAATACAGGAGAATAAATTTGTGGAAGTGGAACTCTTGGATAGATTGATTAAGTTAGCAAATAAGTTGCTCATACAGGAAATTCAGCCATAATATTTATAGTTTCTAGATAAAATTCAGCATACTGGGGAATCTCTGATTTCATATTGTCAGTTTTGAAATGTCCACATTTTTGTGATTCAGATGGAGTTTGTCTTAAATGGTATAGGGTTTTAGCTTATTTTAAAACTCTAATATTGGTAGATGGATAAGGATGGGAAAAAGATAATGCTCTTTTTAACAATGTATTAGATTGTGGTATTTTTCAATACGTATATCTAGGTTTTTAATACTATGGAAACTTTTAAACATCATAAGTGGCCTCAATAAATTTAAATTTAAATGATCCTCATACATAGTTAAAGCTTTCATTCATATTTCTAACTTTAGAAATCACTGGCTCTGTAACCATTGAAGTAATAGGTGATACATAGTTATATTATTTTGCTCCTCCTCTAACTTTTATAACAACTGATGATTATCTTTGTGGCTCTTATTTAAAAATGACCAAGGTTGAAATTTATGGATTTCCTTGCACTTCCACATCTATGACTATATCCATTGGTACTCCAATTTTTNCTAAGGTTAGGTCTTTGGAGTATGTGTAAATTGCTAGAAGTGGAGGATTTGGTGTAGAAATAGGTAGTATTGGATCTACTGAAAATAATCACATAAGAGCTGATTTGTCAGATTAAGAAGGAAATGCTTAAAGAATAATTTTAATCCCTGGTGAGAACTAATAAGTATCTCAATTCAAAGTATTGGGATAGAAACGAAACCAGATGAATTATTTTTTAGATTTCAATGCTAAATTTAGATAATTTATGATGTGATCCTCTAAGTTTTGATTGAAATTTTATCCTGACATTAAACGAGACAATTCTAAAGAACTAATTAGACTTGCGAATTCCTTAAATACCTTAAGTCATTAAAAATTCAATAGACAAATTAAATTAGGATTATTAATACTACTTCTCATTTAATTCTAAATTGCATAATAATTAGAAAAATGTTTAAATAAAATAATCGTTTTTACAAAATAATATTTGTAAAATGTTAGAGTGATTTAGAAATACAAAAAGTTGTAATTATGAAACATTCTGCCTTAACATTAAGCTTTTTTCAATCATAAAATTAAACAAGTTATTTATAATTTTAATATTTATATTATCCTAGGTATGTTTATAAAAAAGAAGTCTTAAAAAGCAAAAAATGGAGTTATAAGTTTAAGATGAAACTATAAATAACCAAATAGTTATGAGTACTAAAGAATTGTGAACGTATAACAGGTTTTCGTTTTTAGAGAGATTATTCATAAATCAAACAAAAATTTTTCTACCCGTAACCAAACATTGCTCCTTGAATAGTTCAAATTGATTATAAATACTGTAATTATAATAAAGTCAGTTATTGAATGTAGATGTTTAAGGAATTTTAACTGAATAATTTTTTATATTCATTTTTGTGAGTATTTTGAATTAAATTAATATTTTCCTTATGAATGGAATGATTATTTTTGTGTTTAAATTTCAGACAAGATATTTTCATTCTGAAATTAAAAATTGAAAATCTGGTTAATGATTACAACTTAATTTATTAAACTTAAATAACAAATGGCACAAATGATTCTGTAAAGTTGGTTCTAAAGATCTTAGGGGCTACGGATTTTCTAAAGATTCATCCATCTCATTTTACTTAATTATTTTTTTTCAGAAGTCAGTGCTCAAACAGAAATCAGCCGATCCTTTTTTAGTCCTTTTAGCACAGATGATAGTAATTAAAGCTTTTATTATAGATTGGAAAGCATACTTAGCATAAAATTCTAACCACATCACTAATTGTGTAACTTCTGATATATACGGAGGACGATTGGTCTTTAATTCATAGACTGTCATAACGAAGACATATATCCTTCCTCCTCATTATAAGATATAGTTTGAATTCAAATTCTGGAGGTTTGTATTTTTTTACATTTATTACTTAGATTGGATCCTTGGTCCTCCGCATATTACATCTTATTTATTAATGGATAATAAGAATACTCCTCTAATCCATTCAATAATACAGGAGAATAAATTTGTGGAAGTGGAACTCTTGGATAGATTGATTAAGTTAGCAAATAAGTTGCTCATACAGGAAATTCAGCCATAATATTTATAGTTTCTAGATAAAATTCAGCATACTGGGGAATCTCTGATTTCATATTGTCAGTTTTGAAATGTCCACATTTTTGTGATTCAGATGGAGTTTGTCTTAAATGGTATAGGGTTTTAGCTTATTTTAAAACTCTAATATTGGTAGATGGATAAGGATGGGAAAAAGATAATGCTCTTTTTAACAATGTATTAGATTGTGGTATTTTTCAATACGTATATCTAGGTTTTTAATACTATGGAAACTTTTAAACATCATAAGTGGCCTCAATAAATTTAAATTTAAATGATCCTCATACATAGTTAAAGCTTTCATTCATATTTCTAACTTTAGAAATCACTGGCTCTGTAACCATTGAAGTAATAGGTGATACATAGTTATATTATTTTGCTCCTCCTCTAACTTTTATAACAACTGATGATTATCTTTGTGGCTCTTATTTAAAAATGACCAAGGTTGAAATTTATGGATTTCCTTGCACTTCCACATCTATGACTATATCCATTGGTACTCCAATTTTTACTACAGTTTCTGGAAACACCCCTAAATTTGGTATTAGAGACTTTGAAGTATTTTCATATTAGGAGAATAAAATAATAATAGATGAGAGTCTTCTCCATTTAGACGATTATATCCTTGGAATTGAAGGGATTTTTTCTTAATAGTACAATTGTGTAGTAGGATGTAGTAATTGTATTCGAGAGTTGTGTGTAGAATGTTTTTCAGGATGGAATTTTGATACTAATTCTTAAGAATGTATACCAATCTGTGGAGATCAATTGATTTTATACTTAGAAGTATGTGATGATGGAAATATGGAGCCTAATGATGGATGTTACTAGTGTAAATTCTCTTGCCCACTAAATTGTACTTTGTGCGAATATGGCTAATGTATCTACTGCGACAATAATTATCAATTAATAGATTCATAATGCCATTTTTCTCTCTAATTTGAGGATGAGAATAGTTTAATTTAATATGATATTTAAATCAACGAGGGACAATATAGTTAAATCTCCAATTTTTTGACAAACGCATATCTTTAGCATGTCACTCTCAACAACAATTTTAAATTAGAAGCCCATGGTATTTAATGTTAAATTTAGAGTTATGGCATTTTTGCTTATTAATATAATTAATGTGAGTATAGAGAACCAGAAAATTGTTTCATCTCTGTCTTTAATGAATGTTAGATTTGTACAAATCAATTTGAAAAGTCATTCAATGGTTAATGCTTACCTATTTGTAATTATGGCATTTATTTAGTAGATGAATTTCTTGATAATTCTCTCTAAATTTAGCTGGATGGTACTTCTTAATGTAGTAGGTGCTAATTAGAATGTTTAGAATGTCACAACTCATATTGCTTTTAATGTTTAAATGGATGGAATCTAGTAAATTTCAAATGTGAATAGGAATGTGGAGATGGTAAAATTGCTTTGGGTTCCTCTGAATAATGTGATGATTAAAATGAAGATATAGGAGATGGATGCTACTAATGTAAATTTGAATGTTAATATAATTGCGTATTTTGCTCTGGTCATCTTTAATGTGCAATTTGTCAAGAATATTTTGAAATTAAGGATTAAAATTGCATTCCTATTTGTGGAGATGGAAATGTTGTGGAAGGATTAGAAATTTGTGATGATGGTAATGATATCCCGTATGATGGATGTCATAATTGTTAATATTCTTGCAGAGAAAACTGTCAAATTTGTGACCATTAGAATTGTTTAGATAAATGTGATTAAGGATATTATTACCTTGATAATAAATGCAATTCTATTTGCGGTGATTCAATTGTTGCTGTTAATGAATAATGTGATGATGGTAATGATGATCCTTTTGATGGCTGTGATTCATGTTTGCTTTCATGCCCTTAAAATTGTAATTATTGTAAGGAAGGACTTTGTTCAGATTGTGATATAGGTTTTAATATGATTAACAATAATTGTCAAGACACATGTGGGAATGGGTTTAAATCTGATATAGAATAATGTGATGACGGCAATCACTTAAATTTGGATGGATGCTCGGATACTTGCGTAATTGAAATTTATTGGACTTGCTTTGAAGAAGATTTTAAAAGAAGCTCTTGCATGTTAAATAAACCTCCACATTTTAATTTAATTTTCTTAAATTAAACTTATAATGTATAATATGTCTAATTGTAATTTACTAATCAAATTAAACTATTAGATTCCTCATAAAATTTAACTCAAAATTTTAAGGCTTCACTTGTTGATATCGATCCTTCTTACTATATTATCAGTAAAACATTAGTTAAGGAACCTGATAGTTTTGGTGTTCATGAAATTATTTATTAATTGCGAATTGAAGTTTTAGAATAATTACAAAGTGATATTTTACTCTAGGTTTAATTAAATACATTATTAGTTGATCAAAATGATTTTTAAGTCGATAATGACATTTGTACAATTAATCTCAAAAATCCTATAGTTTTGACGGATGCATAGAAATAGATTTCCCATAAAATAAGCTCCTATAATTCAACTATACTCATATTCCTTGGAATATCAAGTATGATTATTTTGATATCTGGTAATCCTGCAGAATGTTTTGAAATCTTGGATACAATTTAATATTAATCCAATTTAAAATTTATCAACATAAATTTCCCACAAAACCTAATGATATACTTTGAATCCTCGGATGTTGTTACAATTATCCCTATTTTAGTAAAAGTTGGAATTTTTGGTTTATTCCAAAATGTAATTGGATCATAACAATTAGAAGCTTTTGGAAAATTTTAAAGTTATAACATCAACTGTGATTTAATTAGTAATTTATATGGATTTTTTACTCAATTGCTATTAGGAACAATATTGCTTATATTATCATATTGCTATTTAAAATACATATTCAGAGCTTGGTTTATTCGAATTAGAGTCCTTATTTATGCAAATACTTCAATTCTTGTTTCATATCAATTTGCATTTTTTATCCACATGTTTAATAAATTTAGTTTAGGATTACTTAAGATTTTATCATAACAAGGAATAGTTTATATTATCTAAATGAATTGTTGGGATTTAACTTTCAAAGCTTTACTCTATCTTTTTACTGAAAAAGAAAACAACCTAAGAAATATTGGATAAACTATAATTGCTGTTTTCATTTTAATTGCAGTTGTGTGCTTAATGTTTCTGTTTTTTTCGTGTTCATTGTCAAAACTGAAACCAAACAATTTTACAAATTTTAGTCACGAAGGCTTGCTTATTTCAAAGAAATTTTTAATTTTGTTAATGTTAATAGGATGTTAAAGAAACCCAATTGTGCAATGTGTTATTATTGCTTTAATTAATACTTTATATATCACTTTGATACTAACTTGTAAAATGGTTAATAATAAAATCGATTTGATAGTAATTCTCATTTTTGAGATCCCTATTATTCTTGTTACATTGCTTAATCTTTCTTTTGATTCAAATATTGTTAAATTTATTAGTTCAGAAGTTTAAGTTTGGATAGGGTTTGTTCAAATTGGTCTTATGTCTATTGGAATTACAGCGCCATTGACTAAATATGTCTCAGAAATTAAGTATAAAATAAATTAGCTAATAGAAAAATGGAAGTAAGAAAAAATCAAAAAACTAGAAAAACAGAGTCAAACTACAAATTTATTTATTTGAATGAAATTTATAGTATTCACAACACTACTAATTTTAAGACTCTAATTTCATATTTCATATTTCATATATTTAATATTAACTGAGTTAATTTTTACTTATAAATATTATATGATTATTCAGCAAGCTATTTATTTAAAGATATTAACTTGTTGTGAACAAAATATCCATCTTTATTTTTGTAATATATAATTAAGTAATTTAAAAATCAATTTGATATAGTGAACACATCTCATTCTTTAAATAATCTTATTATCTAATAAATATTATTATTCATTATGCTTATAAAATCAATTCAAGTATTAATTCAAAAGTATACTCATTTGAAAATATACTCTTTATTGATTTTCATTTAGATAATTTGAATTTATACTTTTACTTGCATCAACGACACAATGATTTAGATGTGATTTTAAGGAATGACCACTAATTATCAAAGCCTAATAGTGAAGAGCCAAATAAAATCCTTCTTGAATAGACTCTTAGTGTAAAGGCAGTCACTATCTATAAGATCATATTTTTTTATTCAACTTCAAATTTGAGATGATAATCTTTGAGATCTAATCTGTTTGCCTAAGCAATAATTTAAAGCATAACACTTTTTTTCTTTATAAACCGTACTTTCAGCGGAGCCACCTAATTAAAATGTGGTTAATGAAAGAAAACCACGGTGAGTCAATCAAAATATTACCCTAAAAAGTTTACTAATGTTATAATAAACTTCTCATTATCATTAAGACAACTATAAGTAAGAATAGAAGAACTCTAAAGTATAAAAGCGTCACCCCTATTCAGTTCTAATTCCTGCAAATCAGAATATTTATTCCTCACATTATCCAGTAGTTTGATATCTCAATATCTACATTAAACGATAATATCCAATTTGCAACTATTTAAATAGTTGTGATGGGGCATACATTTGCATACTCAAATACTTCCAAAACCTTATGAAATCTTCGGATTGAAAAAGGATCGCTGATTCTTTGGCCTATCTGTGATAATCTTCTTTATGATTTTTCTATTCGATCTACAAATAAAATGTTTCCAGTAAGGAACCTTAATGTAGTCATTTAGAAAAAAGACATCTCTTTCATTATCGGATCATATTTGTAGATTCATTTTCTAAAGAGTATAATTTTCCTTTTGCAAAAATGCCTTCTGTCTAAACTCTTTTTTGGAATTTCAACAATTTCCTTTCTTCTTACCATATTATTTACATTTGATAAAGAATGCATACTTTTGAGCTCCAAAATTAACGAATCAAAATTTTGGGTAGACCTAATCAATTTTTCATATTCCTGGGTCTCCTTTTTGTAGGGGATGATTTTTGATATATAAGATTTGCAAGTGCTTGAGATATNCTTTTGATTCAAATATTGTTAAATTTATTAGTTCAGAAGTTTAAGTTTGGATAGGGTTTGTTCAAATTGGTCTTATGTCTATTGGAATTACAGCGCCATTGACTAAATATGTCTCAGAAATTAAGTATAAAATAAATTAGCTAATAGAAAAATGGAAGTAAGAAAAAATCAAAAAACTAGAAAAACAGAGTCAAACTACAAATTTATTTATTTGAATGAAATTTATAGTATTCACAACACTACTAATTTTAAGACTCTAATTTCATATTTCATATTTCATATATTTAATATTAACTGAGTTAATTTTTACTTATAAATATTATATGATTATTCAGCAAGCTATTTATTTAAAGATATTAACTTGTTGTGAACAAAATATCCATCTTTATTTTTGTAATATATAATTAAGTAATTTAAAAATCAATTTGATATAGTGAACACATCTCATTCTTTAAATAATCTTATTATCTAATAAATATTATTATTCATTATGCTTATAAAATCAATTCAAGTATTAATTCAAAAGTATACTCATTTGAAAATATACTCTTTATTGATTTTCATTTAGATAATTTGAATTTATACTTTTACTTGCATCAACGACACAATGATTTAGATGTGATTTTAAGGAATGACCACTAATTATCAAAGCCTAATAGTGAAGAGCCAAATAAAATCCTTCTTGAATAGACTCTTAGTGTAAAGGCAGTCACTATCTATAAGATCATATTTTTTTATTCAACTTCAAATTTGAGATGATAATCTTTGAGATCTAATCTGTTTGCCTAAGCAATAATTTAAAGCATAACACTTTTTTTCTTTATAAACCGTACTTTCAGCGGAGCCACCTAATTAAAATGTGGTTAATGAAAGAAAACCACGGTGAGTCAATCAAAATATTACCCTAAAAAGTTTACTAATGTTATAATAAACTTCTCATTATCATTAAGACAACTATAAGTAAGAATAGAAGAACTCTAAAGTATAAAAGCGTCACCCCTATTCAGTTCTAATTCCTGCAAATCAGAATATTTATTCCTCACATTATCCAGTAGTTTGATATCTCAATATCTACATTAAACGATAATATCCAATTTGCAACTATTTAAATAGTTGTGATGGGGCATACATTTGCATACTCAAATACTTCCAAAACCTTATGAAATCTTCGGATTGAAAAAGGATCGCTGATTCTTTGGCCTATCTGTGATAATCTTCTTTATGATTTTTCTATTCGATCTACAAATAAAATGTTTCCAGTAAGGAACCTTAATGTAGTCATTTAGAAAAAAGACATCTCTTTCATTATCGGATCATATTTGTAGATTCATTTTCTAAAGAGTATAATTTTCCTTTTGCAAAAATGCCTTCTGTCTAAACTCTTTTTTGGAATTTCAACAATTTCCTTTCTTCTTACCATATTATTTACATTTGATAAAGAATGCATACTTTTGAGCTCCAAAATTAACGAATCAAAATTTTGGGTAGACCTAATCAATTTTTCATATTCCTGGGTCTCCTTTTTGTAGGGGATGATTTTTGATATATAAGATTTGCAAGTGCTTGAGATATAGATGAAAATTCGTGGAAAATTACGCAATCAGAAATAAATTCTAAGAATCAAAACTCTATAATTAATTCACAGTCAAATATAATAAGGGATTTTCATAGACGAGTAATAAATCATTTATAAGTTAATTTTTGCCAAGTAATTATTTCAATAAATATTTCTAGACATACCTTAAAATTTTATTTGACAAAATCAAGCTTGGTTATCTTTAGATTCAGAAATAAAGAATTTTTCAATTAAACTAATAAAATTTTAGACAGCTTAATAGAAATTATTTATACTGATTTATGAAACAAAAATTTGAAATTCTAAACAAGTAATATTTCAACAACAAATATTCTTATTAACTTTAAATATAATTACTATCTATAATTAAAAAATTTTCAGTAAATTTAAAGTTTACATATCTTTCTTTTCACAAGAATTTAGATGATTTAAAATAAAAATGCAGACTCAATGGTTTTTCAAAGTATAAGCTATATTATTTGCAAGGAAGGATGACTAAGTTTTCAAATTTTCTACCCAATTTGCATCGGCTCTCCTAATCCCTATACAATATTTTGCATTTTCTAATTGCACCTTAATACTATATTTTAGTTAGTAGGTAAATAGTTATGTTACTAGACCGTCTTAATTATCAATATATATAATGATTGTTATAAATTTGATTATCCTAGGTTAGTTGATTATAAAATAATTTTTTTACCTTATGAAAGTAATCCTAATTTTTTTTTTAAAAATCTTTTTTCATAAATACAACAAACATTTTTCTTTGACCTAATAAATTATTTCTTTTTTCCACTAATTTTTGTGAAATCCTGCATTAGTTATAAAGAGAGATCCATTCTAAAAAGTCACGGATGAACTTTTTTGCCTATCCTATCATATCCACTAACATAATCATATTGGTACGATTATTAAAGTTATTTGGATAGATTGTTATAATCACACATGATTTGAATACTAGAAAATGTCAATGCCTTGCAATAATTCAATGCAAAGATTTAGCACATAGTCTTCAGATACAAAGATAAAGAATGTCTAGAGTACAGTGCAATCTAATCTTAAATTAAGATTCTATCTGCCATCAATTTTAATTCTAATTTTTAGGAGTTCATTTCTGTTTTTGGGAGAGAGCGATTCTTCAATTTATTCTCTTCACAAGGATGTGAAATAACAAGTATAGCGAGATTTATGAATATTTTAGTTATCTGCACATATTCACTACAAAAAGCGTTGCAAACTAAAACACTGACCCAACAATATATAGAAGACTATTAAAATACATGCTTTCTGTTACAAATTTTATTCTTCTTTCAAAAAATGTACTTCTAGATTTTAAGTAGCTAGAGCAAATGTATTCTTCAAGTTGTTATTCCCCGTTTTTGAGAATATATGAAATTCCTGTTTTTGGATGATGTTTCTGTGTAGGCTTCTGATGCTTCTGCACTGTATGTGCGAATGATTGCTCATTCTATTACGAATCATTCCATACTTTTCTTTGGTTCCTGATTGCCAATTTTCAGTATTTACCATATTCTTAAACACTTGTTATCTTATCTTTAGATCCATTTTGTACTGCTATCTCTTCCAATTTCTTGTTTAATAATTATAAAACAATTTAACACATCAACGGCTGCAGTAATTACAGAAGAAAATATTAAAAAATATTGCCTTAACATTTATCAAATGAACGAGAAAGATTTATCCTCCAATCAATGGATCGCATTTTGATATAAAGTCATCTCCACTCAAGTCATCAGTAAATATTTGGTGATTTATATTGATGTGAAATGTTACTAAAAGGAATTTAATTTTTATATAATGCAAAAATTAGGTATTATGATGAAAGTTCTTATTCAGTTTATTTCTCTTCAAATGGTATTACTTTTGCATTTAGTAAAATTGAATATCACTTGATTAGATTATGAAATGTTACTGATTGTTTTAATGCAATTGATATCTACATGGTATTACATAAATTATAGAGGTTAAGAACAGTTAAATAAAAAACAATTAGGATGATCATGATGATTGTATAAATAGAAGATATACATATCTTCATTTGGTATTGCATTCACATTTGTAATTAGTAACTCCCTTAGATTTATAAAAATAATTAATTTTTTTATTTACCCCATTCTTTAAGATTCATTTTATTGCAGTTCAATTACCTTTTTTCATTAAATATAGTGCCCAGCTAGGATTTGTTTTTTGAAACTGAACTCACAGGTTATGGAATATTTTCCTTATCTTTACT